CTCCTGGACGAAAATCTTTTCCAGAGCGCTCTGGACCTCAGACTGGGCCGAAGGTTTACCTTCCAACAAGACAATGACCCTAAGCACGCCGCTAAATAACGAAGGAGTGGCTTCACAACAACTCCGTGGCTGTTCTTGAATGGCCCAGCCAGAGCCCAGCTGAGCATCTCTGGAGAGACCTGAAAATGGCTGTCCACCAACGTTTACCATCCAACCTGACAGAACTGGAGAGGATCTGCAAGGAGGAATGGCAGAGGATACCCAAATCCAGATGTGAAAAACTTGTTGCATCTTTCCCAAAACGACTCATGGCTGTATTAGATCAAAAGGGTGCTTCTACTAAATACTGAGCAAAGGGTCTGAATACTTATGACCATGTGATATTTCAGTTTTTCTTTTTTAATACATTTGCAAAAATTTCTACATTTCTGTTTTTTTCTGTCAAGATGGGGTGCTGAGTGTACATTACTGAGAAATAAAATGAACTTTTTGATTTTTGGAAAATGGCTGCAATGAAACAAAGAGTGAAAAATTTAAAGGGGTCTGAATACTTTCCGTACCCACTGTATGTCAGGTGATAGGTATGTCAGGTGATAGGTGTGTCAGGTGTGTCAGGTGATAGGTGTGTCAGGTGTGTCAGGTGATAGGTGTGTCAGGTGATAGGTGTGTCAGGTGATAGGTGTGTCAGGTGTGTCAGGTGATAGGTGTGATAGGTGTGTCAGGTGTGTCAGGTGATAGGTGTGTCAGGTATGTCAGGTGATAGGTGTGTCAGGTGTGTCAGGTGATAGGTATGTCAGGTGTGTCAGGTGATAGGTGTGTCAGGTGATAGGTGTGTCAGGTGTGTCAGGTGATAGGTGTGTCAGGTGATAGGTATGTCAGGTGATAGGTATGTCAGGTGTGTCAGGTGTCAGGTGTGTCAGGTGATAGGTATGTCAGGTGATAGGTATGTCAGGTGTGTCAGGTGATAGGTGTGTCAGGTGTGTCAGGTGATAGGTGTGTCAGGTGATAGGTGTGTCAGGTGTGTCAGGTGATAGGTGTGTCAGGTGATAGGTATGTCAGGTGATAGGTGTGTCAGGTGTGTCAGGTGATAGGTGTGTCAGGTGATAGGTGTGTCACGTGATAGGTGTGTCAGGTGATAGGTGTGTCAGGTGTGTCAGGTGATAGGTGTGTCAGGTGATAGGTATGTCAGGTGATAGGTGTGTCAGGTGTGTCAGGTGATAGGTGTGTCAGGTGATAGGTGTGTCACGTGATAGGTGTGTCAGGTGATAGGTGTGTCAGGTGATAGGTGTGTCACGTGATAGGTGTGTCAGGTGATAGGTGTGTCAGGTGTGTCAGGTGATAGGTGTGTCAGGTGATAGGTGTGTCAGGTGTGTCAGGTGATAGGTATGTCAGGTGATAGGTGTGTCAGGTATGTCAGGTGATAGGTATGTCAGGTGATAGGTGTGTCAGGTATGTCAGGTGATAGGTGTGTCAGGTGTGTCAGGTGTGTCAGGTGATAGGTGTGTCAGGTGATAGGTATGTCAGGTGATAGGTGTGTCAGGTGTGTCAGGTGATAGGTATGTCAGGTGATAGGTGTGTCAGGTATGTCAGGTGATAGGTGTGTCAGGTGTGTCAGGTGTGTCAGGTGATAGGTGTGTCAGGTGTGTCAGGTGATAGGTATGTCAGGTGATAGGTGTGTCAGGTGTGTCAGGTGATAGGTATGTCAGGTGATAGGTGTGTCAGGTATGTCAGGTGATAGGTATGTCAGGTGATAGGTGTGTCAGGTGTGTCAGGTGTGTCAGGTGATAGGTGTGTCAGGTGTGTCAGGTGATAGGTATGTCAGGTGATAGGTACGTCAGATGCGACAGGTGTTAGGTGACAGGTATGTCAGGTGATAGGTACGTCAGATGCGACAGGTGTTAGGTGATAGGTATGTCAGGTGATAGGTGTGTCAGGTGTGTCAGGTGATAGGTGTGTCAGGTGTGTCAGGTGTGTCAGGTGATAGGTGTGTCAGGTGTGTCAGGTGATAGGTGTGTCAGGTGATAGGTATGTCAGGTGATAGGTGTGTCAGGTGATAGGTATGTCAGGTGATAGGTGTGTCAGGTGTGTCAGGTGATAGGTATGTCAGGTGATAGGTGTGTCAGGTGTGTCAGGTGATAGGTATGTCAGGTGATAGGTGTGTCAGGTGTGTCAGGTGATAGGTGTGTCAGGTGATAGGTGTGTCAGGTGATAGGTGTGTCAGGTGATAGGTGTGTCAGGTATGTCAGGTGATAGGTATGTCAGGTGATAGGTGTGTCAGGTATGTCAGGTGATAGGTATGTCAGGTGATAGGTGTGTCAGGTGTGTCAGGTGATAGGTATGTCAGGTGATAGGTGTGTCAGGTGATAGGTATGTCAGGTGATAGGTGTGTCAGGTGTGTCAGGTGATAGGTATGTCAGGTGATAGGTGTGTCAGGTATGTCAGGTGATAGGTATGTCAGGTGATAGGTGTGTCAGGTGATAGGTGTGTCAGGTATGTCAGGTGATAGGTATGTCAGGTGATAGGTATGTCAGGTGATAGGTGTGTCAGGTATGTCAGGTGATAGGTATGTCAGGTGATAGGTGTGTCAGGTGTGTCAGGTGATAGGTGTGTCAGGTGATAGGTGTGTCAGGTGTGTCAGGTGATAGGTATGTCAGGTGATAGGTGTGTCAGGTATGTCAGGTGATAGGTATGTCAGGTGATAGGTGTGTCAGGTGTGTCAGGTGATAGGTATGTCAGGTGATAGGTGTGTCAGGTATGTCAGGTGATAGGTATGTCAGGTGATAGGTGTGTCAGGTGTGTCAGGTGTGTCAGGTGATAGGTGTGTCAGGTGTGTCAGGTGATAGGTGTGTCAGGTGATAGGTGTGTCAGGTGATAGGTGTGTCAGGTGATAGGTATGTCAGGTGATAGGTGTGTCAGGTGTGTCAGGTGATAGGTGTGTCAGGTGATAGGTGTGTCAGGTGATAGGTATGTCAGGTGATAGGTGTGTCAGGTGATAGGTGTGTCAGGTGATAGGTGTGTCAGGTGATAGGTATGTCAGGTGATAGGTGTGTCAGGTGATAGGTGTGTCAGGTGATAGGTATGTCAGGTGATAGGTATGTCAGGTGATAGGTGTGTCAGGTGATAGGTATGTCAGGTGTGTCAGGTGTGTCAGGTGTGTCAGGTGATAGGTGTGTCAGGTGTGTCAGGTGATAGGTATGTCAGGTGTGTCAGGTGATAGGTATGTCAGGTGATAGGTACGTCAGATGCGACAGGTGTTAGGTGACAGGTATGTCAGGTGATAGGTATGTCAGGTGATAGGTATGTCAGGTGATAGGTGTGTCAGGTGTGTCAGGTGATAGGTATGTCAGGTGATAGGTGTGTCAGGTGATAGGTATGTCAGGTGATAGGTGTGTCAGGTGATAGGTGTGTCAGGTGATAGGTGTGTCAGGTGTGTCAGGTGATAGGTGTGTCAGGTGTGTCAGGTGATAGGTATGTCAGGTGTGTCAGGTGATAGGTGTGTCAGGTATGTCAGGTGATAGGTATGTCAGGTGATAGGTGTGTCAGGTGTGTCAGGTGATAGGTGTGTCAGGTGATAGGTCTGTCAGGTGATAGGTGTGTCAGGTGTGTCAGGTGATAGGTGTGTCAGGTGATAGGTGTGTCAGGTGTGTCAGGTGATAGGTGTGTCAGGTGATAGGTCTGTCAGGTGATAGGTGTGTCAGGTGTGTCAGGTGATAGGTGTGTCAGGTGATAGGTGTGTCAGGTGATAGGTGTGTCAGGTGATAGGTATGTCAGGTGATAGGTGTGTCAGGTGATAGGTGTGTCAGGTGTGTCAGGTGATAGGTGTGTCAGGTGATAGGTGTGTCAGGTGATAGGTATGTCAGGTGATAGGTGTGTCAGGTGATAGGTATGTCAGGTGATAGGTGTGTCAGGTGATAGGTATGTCAGGTGATAGGTGTGTCAGGTGATAGGTGTGTCAGGTGATAGGTGTGTCAGGTGATAGGTATGTCAGGTGATAGGTATGTCAGGTGATAGGTGTGTCAGGTGATAGGTATGTCAGGTGTGTCAGGTGTGTCAGGTGTGTCAGGTGTGTCAGGTGATAGGTGTGTCAGGTGTGTCAGGTGATAGGTATGTCAGGTGTGTCAGGTGATAGGTATGTCAGGTGATAGGTACGTCAGATGCGACAGGTGTTAGGTGACAGGTATGTCAGGTGATAGGTATGTCAGGTGATAGGTATGTCAGGTGATAGGTACGTCAGATGCGACAGGTGTTAGGTGACAGGTATGTCAGGTGATAGGTATGTCAGGTGATAGGTACGTCAGATGCAACAGGTGTTAGGTGATAGGTATGTCAGGTGATAGGTGTGTCAGGTGTGTCAGGTGATAGGTATGTCAGGTGATAGGTGTGTCAGGTGTGTCAGGTGATAGGTGTGTCAGGTGTGTCAGGTGATAGGTGTGTCAGGTGATAGGTATGTCAGGTGATAGGTATGTCAGGTGATAGGTGTGTCAGGTGTGTCAGGTGATAGGTGTGTCAGGTGTGTCAGGTGATAGGTGTGTCAGGTGTGTCAGGTGTGTCAGGTGATAGGTGTGTCAGGTGTGTCAGGTGATAGGTATGTCAGGTGATAGGTGTGTCAGGTGATAGGTGTGTCAGGTGATAGGTGTGTCAGGTGATAGGTGTGTCAGGTGTGTCAGGTGATAGGTGTGTCAGGTGATAGGTGTGTCAGGTGTGTCAGGTGATAGGTATGTCAGGTGATAGGTATGTCAGGTGATAGGTATGTCAGGTGATAGGTATGTCAGGTGATAGGTATGTCAGGTGTGTCAGGTGTGTCAGGTGATAGGTGTGTCAGGTGATAGGTGTGTCAGGTGTGTCAGGTGATAGGTGTGTCAGGTGTGTCAGGTGATAGGTGTGATAGGTGTGTCAGGTGTGTCAGGTGATAGGTGTGTCAGGTGATAGGTGTGTCAGGTGATAGGTGTGTCAGGTGATAGGTATGTCAGGTGCGTCCTGGTGAAACCTGGAGGACTGACCTTGTTGCCATGGCAGCGGGAGCACCCTTTCCGTCTGTGCCTGCGGATCTTCGCGTCTCTGCAGAGGCAAGGCCAATCTTTATCCGACCAATCACAGTCCTGGAAATGCATCAAACAGCATCAGAAGAAGTCCAGGAGTGAAAGCCCACTAAAGGTACCTAAGACCTGTGTTTTCAGACCTTGTAGGTTCTGTGGCCATCCATCTTCCTCCTCCGGCGCCGACTCGTCATTGGTTGGATCTTATGCCCCTCTTCTTCCTCTTCGAGCTCTGGGAGAGTCACCTCTTCAAAGCCGCTGCTGGCTCCGCCTCCTGATGCCTGGCCTACCTCTCCACTGTCTGTCCCGCCCCCTCCCTCCTCTGGCCAATGAGCTTCTTCAAACTGTCCCGGGCGGGCTGGAGGTGGGCGGAGCTCGTCAAAAAATACCCAGAATTCAGCTTGTAGATGGGTGTGGCCTTTTAGCAGCGTGGCCATCTGAGCTTTCAGCTGAAACACATGGATTTTATCAGGTGTCATGATGTCGTCGTTGATTCCTGATTCTGGTTAAACTGGTTTCTGAACAGTCGTTGATTCCTGATTCTGGTTAAACTGGTTTCTGAACAGTCGTTGATTCCTGATTCTGGTTAAACTGGTTTCTGAACAGTCGTTGATTCCTGATTCTGGTTAAACTGGTTTCTGAACAGTCGTTGATTCCTGATTCTGGTTAAACTGGTTTCTGAACAGTCGTTGATTCCTGATTCTGGTTAAACTGGTTTCTGAACAGTCGTTGATTCCTGATTCTGGTTAAACTGGTTTCTATACAGTCGTTGATTCCTGATTCTGGTTAAACTGGTGTCTGAACAGTCGTTGATTCCTGATTCTGGTTAAACTGGTTTCTGAACAGTCGTTGATTCCTGATTCTGGTTAAACTGGTTTCTGAACAGTCGTTGATTCCTGATTCTGGTTAAACTGGTTTCTGAACAGTCGTTGATTCCTGATTCTGGTTAAACTGGTTTCTGAACAGTCGTTGATTCCTGATTCTGGTTAAACTGGTTTCTAAACAGTCGTTCCTGATTCTGGTTAAACTGGTTTCTTGCTGTACCTCGTCAATGCTGGTTGGACTCAGATCTGGACCTGTCTGCAGAGCTTTGATGATCTTCTGATAATGTGACGGATTATCTCCAAAGCTGATCTCCAATTGTCGCAGGAAGCGCCGGCTGCGTTCAAACGCCTGCTGCTCCTCGAACTGCAGAGTCAGGACAGAGTTACATCAACACAGAAAGACATTAGCCACCAGTCAGTCTGTGAAACACCTGAACCTTCATGCTGACATGGAGACGCATCGCTACAGGCTCCGCTACAGCTTCAAAAACGCCAAAAAGGGCGTCAGGTATAACAGCTGGTGCGCCTGACAAGCAGGCTGCTCGCTCCATAGGTATGTCATATAGACACGTGTCAGGATTCCTTCAGGAATCATCATGAGACTGGGCGGGAATCACAGGCTTTAGTAGTATCTGATGCACCCAAATGAAGATTCTTGTCTGAAACCGAATATAATGCAAAACTTTCCTCAACAGCGAACAAGTACATTTTATCCATTTATTTTCCCGCTGCATAAATTAAACAAAATGAGCTTTTTCCTCAGTGTTTCCCACAGGATGTGGAGAGACTATGGTGGGGGGTCCGGGGCCCGAGAGGGCCATTTCCTTTTAATGGACACATGTGACATGTTTTATACTTTCTGTAAATATAATCCATTTAATCTTATTTCCATCCTGTACAGACGCCTTATTTTGAAAACCGGGCGTGGTCACATGTGTTTCCTCCTCGCGCTAAATTCATCCAGTCCGACCCGGTTTGATAAATAATGTTGAACATGAAACTTCACAGCCTCTCTTCATACTAAAGAGACAAACTGACAGGATAAAGTCTCTAACCTGCCTGTCAGCTCGCTCTGGGCCGCTTCACTTACCGTAAAGGCTGGAATACGTGTGCACTCCAAATGTAGGTGCCGCTAGCTTAATCTCCTTCTCACAGACGAGTGACAGAAACAGCGGTTCTTTTCAGACACAGATGGAGTGGATGTGTTGGGAGACAGTTCAGCAGAACAGCGTCTGCAAACGGCTCGGACACTTTAAAATCCTTCCACGCTGCCGACACGTCCCAACACAGAAACTGCTTGTTTTGCTATTTTTAGCCGATTAATTTCGGGGGCCCAACATTTTGTGCATCACTAGTATTTGATAAAGATTCTAATCGATTCTTTTTGTCTCTCAACCCGCCTTCTCTCGCCGCTGTCCGAAGATCACAATCCAACAACAGGTGAAAGAGTCCGAGTCAGAGCAGTTCTTTGATTGACCCTCGCTTCCCACCGTCACTACAGTTTAGGGATGTCACGAGAACCGGTACTTCGGTACAAAGTCGATACCAAAACATGTCAGGAGAAACATGTTGGTGCTGGTTTTTCTACAGGCCGTAGGTACGAGGGATCCAACGCATGGAAGAGGGCAACAAGTGCAGCTGCAGTTTGACCGTCGTGTTTGGAAAGCGGGTAAAGTTAGTTAAATTTCACGTCTGTCCAACGTACTGCAGGAGGAGCTAGGGACCGTCTGCAAAGGTCAATACGATTCGTTTCAATCATCAATAACTGTTTAGTTTTCCAACAGAGAAATCTCAAACCACAGCCAGTACAGAGACCACCCTGGAACATGAAACACCAACAAAAAAGTTAAGAAGATTAATAAATTAATTCAATACGCAGGTTGTATTTTCGACAGCTGCTCTTTGTAATGTTCCGATGGTTTTATTGAAGGAGTGGATGTTGAAGTTTTTTTCACCGTGGTATCAACAACGATTCTGGAAAATAATCTAATTGGGATTTCTTTAACCAATCTTGCGATTTAATATGCTATTATTTTTAAGCTCTTTATCTTCTGTATTTTTCGGACAAGAAATAAATCAGCGTACAGTCTGACCAACAGTGTTAGATTTAACAGACACTGCTCTTTCCTGCAGGTCAGGCCTGTGTGAGAGGATGAAATTAGCTGATGCATGAATTATTATGAGCAATGTTGGAGAAGTAGTATCAGATTATAAGAGTTTAAGAGAAAGATAATTTTAAAGGATTAAATAACATCATATAATCTCATCAGGTGGGCCAAGAAACAGAGTGTTACACAGCGCTGAGTATCTCAAACCTCCACAAGAGTCCACCTCTCAACAACACACCTTCTTTTCTGGATCTGGGGGGATTGAACAACTCAACCAGTCAGGGTACAGCGTAGCGTGACTGGAATCTCTGGGCACCTCACGATTCAATTCCGATTCAGAGGGCTGTGATTCGATTATAAAAAGATTATCGATGCATCTTGATGCGTCATTTTTCCTAAACAGGATCCATGGATAATTACCAAGCATTTCATTTGCACATTAAAATCCTAATTTTAATGTGCCTAACCTAATTATCTTAAAAGCACTAGTCTGCATCCCTAATTGACTTTATTAATCTCAGCTCCATGGACCCTCATTTCAGAAAAATAATTATCAGGATGTTCAGTCTGTGTCCAGGACAGAGCTGCACACACCAGTTCAGTCTCAGCACTTCACTAGTAGGTTAGTTAGTACTGACATACAGCTGATAATTAATATTACTACAGACCAACAAAAAGTCATTCAGGACTGAATGCCTGGGTAAAGAGCTTTAACAGGTTTTAGTAGATCTTTGAAAGTGTCCAGACTCTGTGGGTTCCAGGGGGGGGGTGACGCTGAAGGCTCTGGAGTCTGGTGGGGGGGCTGGAGAGCAGGCCCGTGTACAGCGTTCACTTTCCCAGCTGTTGGGAAACTACAGGCTTTTATTAACGGACACAAGTGACCTACGCTGCACGTTTCCTACCAGGCAGAAACTTACCGATAATATTTTTCTCCGTGAACTTTCACCGTCACGTTCTGCCGCTCTCTCTCTCTCACTCGCTCGGCCTCACACACAGGATGCACAGAGAGCTGCAGAGCGTCGAGCGTCACCACGCTCACAATGTGCGAGTTAAAATCATTAGTTGCGCACTGATATTAATGATTGTGTGACATTTAAGCAGGGAGGTTCTTCATTCTGCAGCCGTGGTGTGCCGAATACAGGCTGTTGTGTGCGCTCCACAGACGGTCCGGACGCTGCACTTTCGCGAGTTCCGCCTTTTGCGTTCCGTCAACATCACGTTATTAATTAAGATTTAAAAATCCATTTTTAGACATTTGTTAATCAATTCAGAATCTTCCATGTCCGCATCGCGACTCATCTAAGAATCGATTATTTCTCCCACCCCTACTGCTGCGGTGCACCTGTGCTGCTCACCAGTCCACACAGCAGCGCCTGCTCAGGATGCAGGAACGCGGCAAAGTCTCTCAGGAGGTCTGTCCGGTCTCCCAGGATGCAGCGCAGCTTCCTGAACAACATCATCACTTCCTGTCCTTCTCCCACCTGCTCAAACTCGTTCAGCAGAGACACGAACTCCTCCACCTGCTCAGGTACGTCCTGCAGCGCCTCGCGCACCTGGAGACACACAGTAAGAGTCACGGTCTCACAGTGGCAGATGAATCGCTCTCTAACAGAGTGGCGTTCTCACCCTGTTCAGGTAACTCTGCGCGAAGGCCACGTCTTTGCTCTCTCTGTGCGGGTCGTTCTCCAGGATGTTCTCGTCGAACAGCAGCAACAGTTTGGCGGCGTCTTTACTGTGGCGCTCCTGGCGACTCCTCCTCAGGCCGCGGAGAGGTCGGCCCTGACCTGCAGAGACACAACACAAAGTGTGAGAGCGGCGTCAGCAATACCAAAACCAAGCAAAACCATCAGAGAACGCCCGGACCTCGTCCTCGTCCAGGACACCTCCCTCCTCCTCTGGGCGTTCCCTCTCCTGACGGCGTCTCTTCGTCTCGTCCCACATTACTGCTCCTGCCCTCTCCTGACCGCTCGTCTTTACGGCCCTCCTCTTCCTCCTCCTCCTCCTCCTCCTCTTCCTCCTGAGAGCCGGGGGAGGTCGGAGAGTGATCCTCCTCCGAGTCTCCGTCTGCACAGAGCCGGTGCTCCGCCGCCAACCACGTCAGCTGCTTCATGGTTTCCTAAGAAGGTTAAAGGTCAAAGATGAGCGTCACTCTGACGTCACCAACTCACCAGGGGTATGATTTATAAACGTGCGCACGCCACTTCCAACGCAAAGGTTGTGATCTATAAAAACGAACCTGAGGGAGAACGTGCTCTCCTCCTCCTCCAAACTCTGAGCATGTGGACGAACAGAAAAGGATCAATCCAAAAATTTAAGCTGCAAGCAGCGTTGGGCGAGCCCTCGCACGTGTAGCACGTCGAGGTGCGAGGCGGCCGCGTTGCAGATTCTGGAACTCTGACAGTGCAGCTGTGAATTTGCCACAGGCTTCGGACAAACGTGTTATTTGTCACTTGTCACAAATCTGAAGTAGGTCGGACTAACTCCCTAGGAGGAGTTCATTAAAGTACAAAGGGTGTAAATCGCCATAAATTCCCATTTAATCCAAAATGGCCGACTTCCTGTTGGGTTGAGGGCATCGCTCCAAGAGGCTTTTTTTGTGTGTGCGGACTTGATACATGTACCCCAGAAATTGACGTAGGTGAAACTTTGTCCGGTAGCTGCTCTGTCGGGGGCGCCGAGGAGCCATTTTGCCACGCCCATGCGCGAAACCCTTAAAATCCGAAATTCTTCGCCATGTATGAATTTTGTGCAAATTTTGGTGAGTTTTTCAAGTACGTTTAGGCCCCCAAAATTGAGGTTACTTTGCAGAAAAAAAGAAAAATAATCCTGCCTAAATATGTCAGCTGTGACCGATATTAAGTGACATTAACAACTTATTATTTAGGCTTTTCATATTGTAGTCGGACCAGCAATAACAAGAAAATCAACAATATAAATCTACAACCTAATCATTTTATTTAGCCTACATACAGGCTCTAACTTCTTAAATAAGAACTATTAGCGGTTCTTATGATCTGAACAGCTCAGGGTGGTAAGAGCTTCTCTATAGAGACGGACTTGCTTCGACTCTCAGGGATTTATTCATTACAGCACTTTCATGCTGTCTTTCTGTTTCTAATGAAGACTAGAGAGCAGAGGCCTGGAAATGTAAACTGATATTAGAAGTCTTTACATTCTCTGTTTTTTCCTTTGAACTGGGAAACTAATGTTAGATTAAGTTACACCTGCTGTTTGTGGCTGGAATACACTAAGGTACTGAATCAATGCAGCTCTACCCACAAATACATTTAAAAGTACTTTTACAACTACTTTTAAAAACGCTTCACCTTAAATATGTTTGTCTAGCAGGATTTTCCGACATTGCTGTTGACTCACATCACATCCACCTCCTCACGCTCAGCGTTTCCCATTAATTAACGAGACCACGGCGGCCCGCCATAGTCTCTAAATGAACCGAAAATAGTTTGATACATCTCATAATAACGTTTCAGACCTCTAACAGTGTGTTTTGTGGGCGCTGCTGTGAGCTCGCACGCTCTGGCATCTGACTCGAGACAACCATTTTTCTTTTGAGGTAACGTTAACGGCCTGTCACTCGTCTGTGAGCGCCTACATTTGGAGTGCACACGTATTCCAGCCTTTACGGTAAGTGAAGCGGCCCAGAGCGAGCTGACAGGCAGGTTAGAGACTTTATCCTGTCAGTTTGTTTCTTTAGTATGAAGAGAGGCTGTGAAGACGAGAAGCACATACAACATTATTTATCAAACACACGTGACAACGTCCGGTTTTCAAAATAAGGCGTCTGTACAGGATGGAAATAAGATTCATTGGATTATATTTACAGAAAGTATAAAACATGTCACATTAAAAGTAAAACAACAACAATAAGATGTCAGGGAAGTTACTTATTATACTTACTATTCTTTGATTTAGAAAAACATAATAAAATAAAAATAAATTTGTTGGCTTTTGTTGCCGTTTCATCACTATTTATAGCTCTACAATGGCTTTAAGGGTAAATAATTTATTAGAGCACAACATTGTTTACAAGTGTATATTTAATTTTGCACCAAATTAATGCATTTAATTTTAAAATTTAGAAAATCTTTCTTCCAAGGGGCCATGGCCCCAGACCCCCCAACAGGGTCCGGGGCCCACCCACCATCGTCTCTTAAGATCCTGTGGGAAACACTGCACGCTGCATCTTCTGCTCTCTGTGACGTGAACTGAGCTTCTAACCACAGCTCAGCAGCTGGAGTTCAAACTAAGCAACTTAACGACAGATCGTTCGTCGAGGAACACCTGCGTCGCTTAACCATAGTTTGTACCTGTAAGTTACCAACTTAGTTACCTCCGTAGTCCGAACGAGGGTTTTGGGAAACGCAGCCCAGAGCCGCGCAAGGCGTGTACATTTTACAACATCTAACCAAACTAGAGGAGAACGTGCTGGATGATGGCACCAGCCGAACCGACACAGGCGGCGGCTGCGCTGACGTGTTTCAGCAGCAGAGCGTTCAGCCTGCATGTTGTTAACGTGTTAATTTGTCATTTTGTGAACTACAGATCGCAGCTCTCTGTGGCTGACATTAAGTATCCACATGGAGCATTTCAGAATAAGAGCGTTTTGCCCGTCTGATTTTGCTGACTTGTTCAGTTGTTCTGATTTTTGAGCCTCTACTACGATTAAGTAGTTAAATTGTTTTTTTTTTTGTCGGTCTACGATCGGGAATCTGCAGAGGCTGTTTTATTTTGAAAATCGACCGGATTCTCTGCCGCTCTGTGTCTGACTTCCTGCCTGATTCATCAAAAGTCGACTGGCAGTGAAAATTCATCTTTAGCAAAACTTCAATAAAATAAATCTAAATTGAATCTTAATCACAATATTTGGCCGAAAAATCGCAATTAGACTTTTTTCCCTACTCAGGAGGGATGAGCCTTCCTGCAGATCGCTGATAAAAGGGGGCGGAGCTCCAGCGCACAAGCGCTGCGTGTGCATGTGTGTGCACGTTTTACCCACCAAACATCTTCTTTCTTGCTTCAAAACGAACGTCAGCGTCTCACTGGCTGAAATTTCCTTCTGAAGCTTCTGTCTGAATTTGCCTCGTTATGTTGCCGCAGTCAGGACGACTTAATATTAACGAGCTTCACTGAACATTCGAGGCGTTCGGACACGGAGCGCTCACGAGCCACGTGCCGATTCATGACGGGACGTTGACGCAGGATGAAGTTAGTCTTCCTGACGCACAGATCTATAAGCGACCCCTGGCTCAGAGACTTCCTGTTTACCTGTAACTCTGGAACAGAGAGCACCGACTCCTCCGACGCTGATGACATCACTTCCTCCTCGTCTTCATCCTGTGTGAGGTCATCAAAGTCCTCCTCCTCCTCCTCTTCACCGTGCCGGTCCTGATCTTCATCCTTATCCTTCTCCCCATCATCCTCCCTCTCTCCTCCCCCATTCTCCTCCCTCTGTCCCTCGTCCTCATCTTCCCCCTCTCCTCCCTGCTCCTCCTGCTCCCCTTCTCCCCCCCCTCTGCTTCCTCCCCACCTCCTCCGCCTCCTGTTCCCCCTCCCTCAACCCCCTCCTCCTCCTCTCCACCAGAGTTATCTCCTCCATTCAAACTGACCACACCCGGAGCAGTCCAGTTCTCCTCCTGCTCCTCCTTCGGCTCCTCCTGCTGCTCCTCTCCTGCACAGGACGACAGCGGGCTCAGTGTTGATGTTGAAGCTGATCGTTCCTCCTCCACCTGTCTCTCCTCCTCTGGTGGAAGGCATGGCTCTGCAGACGTCTGCTCCAACTCCTGCTCTTCTTTGATTGGTCTATGGAGCTGTTGCCCCAGAGCATGCTGGGAGGAGAGCGTAGGCGGGGCTGTGGGCGGCGGCCACATCATCTGGAGGAGGAAGCACCCCTGCTTTATGGGGGCAACTGAGCAAGACGTCACGGGATGCGTTGTGTCAGGTTTGCTGAGGGGGGAGGGGGAGGAGGAGGGGACGCTGTCTTGTTGCCTAGAAACGCTCTGCTGCGTCCTCTGACCAATAGGAAAGAAGGACTGGATGACGGGGTGGGTGGGGACAGCAGCCAATGGGACAGCCCCGCAGGCGGCAGGCTGAGCCAGGGCTCCTGAAACAGCAGGAGTACCTGAGGGGGGGAGGGACAGGAAGCTGATTGGCTGCGTGTCGACCTGTCTGCCCACCTGTGTGTCTGCCAGGGCTTTGGCGAGTGGCAGCAGAGATGCATTGTGGGCCAAGGTGAAGAAGCGTCTGTGTGGGGGACGAGGGGACGGGACTTGTTGACAAAGTAGGGGTGAAGCCTAAGGTTGCATCCTGGGGGGAGGGAGGGTGGGTAACAGGTGGTGCCCTGCTGGGTCTTCTGGATGATCAGCTGACTGTTCTGCAGGTGAGAACCATCAGAGAACCAGAGTCACAACCAACAACTTGAGGGTTACTATGCTATGCTAGTACTCTAAACGTCATGTTAGCAACCTGTTAGTTAGCGACTAGTGACAGACGCCATGTTAGCGACAGGTTCGTTAGCGACTAGCTACGGACGTCGCGTTAGTGACAGGTTAGTTAGCGACTAGCGACGGACGTCATGTTAGCGACAGGTTAGTTAGTTAGCGACTAGCAACAGATGTCATGTTAGCGACAGGTTAGTTAGCGACTAGCGACAGACGTCATGTTAGCGACAGGTTAGTTAGCGACTAGCGACAGACGTCATGTTAGCGACATGTTAGTTATCAACTAGCGACTGACGTCGTGTTAGCGACAGTTTAGTCAGCGACTAGAGACGGACGTCATGTTAGCGACAGGTTAGTTAGCGACTAGCGACAGACGTCATGTTAGCGACATGTTAGTTATCAACTAGCGACTGACGTCGTGTTAGCGACAGTTTAGTCAGCGACTAGAGACGGACGTCATGTTAGCGACAGGTTAGTTAGCGACTAGCGAAGAATGTCATGTTAGCGACAGGTTAGTTAGCGACTAGCGACGAACGTCATGTTAGCGACAGGTTAGTTAGCGACGGACGTCATGTTAGCGACAGGTTAGTTAGCGACGGACGTCATGTTAGCGACAGGTTAGTTAGCGACGGACGTCATGTTAGCGACAGGTTAGCTGGCGACGGACGTCATGTTAGTGACAGGTTAGTTAGCGACGGACGTCATGTTAGCGACAGGTTAGTTAGCGACGGACGTCATGTTAGCGACAGGTTAGCTGGCGACGGACGTCATGTTAGTGACAGGTTAGTTAGCGACTGACGTCATGTTAGCGACAGGTTAGTTAGCGACTAGCAACAGACGTCATGTTAGCGACATGTTAGTTATCAACTTGCGACTGACGTCGTGTTAGCGACAGTTTACTTATCCACTAGCGACGAACGTCATGTTAGCGACAGGTTAGTTATCCACTAGCGACGAACGTCAAGTTAGCGACAGGTTAGTTAGCGACGAACGTCAAGTTAGTGACAGGTTAGTTAGCGACAGACGTCATGTTAGTGACAGGTTAGTTAGCGACTGACTTCATGTTAGTTTGGGTGTAGTGACGGACGTAAGTGATTAGAAGCAGGCTTCACACTGATCTACATCTGAATGTGGATCTGGTTTAGTCTGTCAGACCTTGAGCCAGTTTGGCATTGTGGAGGTGTCTCTGTCCACTGGGGGGCGCTGGTCTCCTGGCTGAACCCTGCTGCAGGCGAGCGGCAGCGGGGGGACGATTCCCTGCGTCACGAACATCTGAACACATGACGAGAAGATGGGAGAGGTTTCTGAAAGGAGACTGTTACAATGTCATGACAGTGTGTAATGATGTCACAATGATGTCACCTTGATGACGTTGTTGTGTGGCGCTCTCGTGGCGCTCATTTCTCTGATGTGTTTCCTGAAGTTCCATCGAGTCTTACAGAGCAGGTAGGTGCTGATCAGCTGATCCGACTGGACCGTCCCCTGAAAGTGCTTCAAACCCAGAACAATCAACCTGCACAGAGGCATCATGGGAAATGTTACAGACACACTGAAGCGTGGCGTTGTTACATGAACTTGATGCTGAACTCCATCACGGCATTCTGTCACTTTAAGGTGAACTTAGTGTGCACAGTGTGTTGTGTACACTATGTGTGTGTACAGTGAGTGTGTACACTATGTGAGTGTACAGTGATGTGTGTACACTATGTGTGTGTACAGTGAGTGTGTGTACACTATGTGAGTGTACAGTGAGTGTGTACACAGTGAGTGTGTGTACACTATGTGAGTGTACACCATGTGAGTGTACAGTTAGTGTGTGTACACCATGTGAGTGTACAATGAGTGTGTACAGTGAGTGTGTGTACAGTGAGTGTGTGTACACTATGTTGTACAGTGAGTGTGTGTACACTATGTGTGTACAGTGAGTAGTGTGTACACTATGTGAGTGTACAGTGAGTGTGTACACAGTGAGTGTGTGTACACTATGTGAGTGTACACCATGTGTGTACAGTTAGTGTGTGTACACCATGTGAGTGTACAGTGAGTTTGTACAGTGAGTGTGTGTACAGTGAGTGTGTGTACACTATGTCAGTGTACAGTGAGTGTGTGTGTACACTATGTGAGTGTACAGTGAGTGTGTGTACACTATGTGTGTGTACAGTGAGTGTGTGTACACTATGTGTGTGTACAGTGAGTGTGTGTACACTATGTGAGTGTACACCATGTGAGTGTACAGTTAGTGTGTGTACACCATGTGAGTGTACAGTGAGTGTGTACAGTGAGTGTGTGTACAGTGAGTGTGTGTACACTATGTGTGTGTACAGTGAGTGTGTGTACACTATGTGTGTGTACAGTGAGTGTGTGTACACTATGTGTGTGTACACTATGTGAGTGTACAGTGAGTGTGTGTACACTATGTGAGTGTACACCATGTGAGTGTACAGTTAGTGTGTGTACACCATGTGAGTGTACAGTGAGTGTGTGTGTGTACACTATGTGTGTGTACAGTGAGTGTGTGTGTACACTATGTGAGTGTACAGTGAGTGTGTGTACACTATGTGTGTACACTATGTGTGTGTACACTATGTGTGTACACTATGTGTGTACAGTGAGTGTGTGTACACTAGTGTGTGTGTACAGTGAGTGTGTGTGTGTACACTATGTGTGTGTACAGTGAGTGTGTGTGTACACTATGTGTGTGTACAGTGAGTGTGTGTGTACACTATGTGTGTGTACAGTTTGTGTGTTGTGTACCCGTCCTCTCCTGCAGTGTAAACTCTCCGATGGTGTCGGGTGTGTAGCGCGGGGTCCAGGCTGCAGACAGGAAGTAGTTCTGGGTAAAGGAAGATGGGTCGGGTGGCGAACAGCCAGGCGGCGTCGGCAGGCATCAGAGGGAAGGCGTGGCCTAAACAGAAGCAGAACCACACAAGCTGACAGAACGTCTGCTGGACGGACAGACGTGATGTTTAAGCTGCTGGCAGAGAGACCTTACTGTTGGTGGCAGGAGTCATCCTGGGGAGCCAGCGTCTGGAGGCCCCAGAGGCAGCAGGAGCAGGAGGCTCCGCCCTCTGCTCCACCTCCTGCAGGAGATCCAGCGCCCCCCGCAGGTTGCACACTCTAAAAGAGCTGGGCAGAAAAACCTCTTCCCGACGTCTGGCGAACTTCTGCAGCTCCTCCTGGAGGGAGAAAAGGGTTTGTGTTGTGGTTTCCAGGCCAAGCTGGACCTGTACCACGAAGCAGGATCTAAACTCATCCAGAAAACTTTGGGGTTAACCCTGGGTTTCACTTCTTACCCGGGTACATCGCCATGGTAACTGATGCTGAACGGCTAACCTTCTACATTGTTAGGTGAGTGTACAGTGAGGTACAGTGAGTTAGGTTCTGTTCCAGATCAGAGATCAACTCCATGAAAACGCCGCGTACAGACCAATCAGCTCTCTGGAAAATGACCTCACCATCTGTAGGAGATCCCTCAGTTTAACAGGCTGCTTCATGTTGCTGCGGTGATACGGAGAAACTCTTGTAGGCTAAAGCGACATCATCATCCTACAGCAGGCTGATCAGAACCCTCAGGTTACTGTATCCTGCAGGTTTTACAGTAAACCTACTAACTGCTTTGAAATGTGTTTAATGTTTTTATCTGCTCCCAGTCTTTTTCAGCTGCCACAGCGTTAAAATGAACGGGTTTCCTATTTCTGACGTGAGGCTGAATATTATGAGCATGAGGGACATTTTAAAGTGAACGTTGGCTTATATTTTAGGTTAGTAGCTTCTTCTTATATCAGAGCCTGGTCCCGTTCTGCGGTGTGAGCAGGTAACGAGGAGTCTTCAGCAGCCTGAATGTTCAGATTCAGTCTTTCAGCCACTATCTAAACACATTTTATAGCATGAATGGATTTTTGGTTTCGTTGCTTTTAAGTTAATTTAGAACAATGTTTGGAACATTTTGAGTGCGTTAAATAAATGAATCTCAGTTTTTTAAAGTGAGGTGGAACGACCTCTTTTTCAGTACCCGAGTCCTTTAATGTGGAAACGCCGACACACGGCCGAGCTCATACAGCTCAGAGAACACATCAGATCAACACATTATTACAGACTACATCTGTTCATTTAGACATCCACACCGTCTGCGATGTTATCCCTCATCCGAGACACTTCTTCAGTTCAGAACCGAAGTAGTCTCTTGGATAAGGGACGAAACGTCTCCTAGTTTTTCCAGTCCAGTTGCCCTTCACCTCAAGCTTCGTTGGATAACTGTGACCTGGATGACTGAGAACCTCCGCAGACACCTGCCCGTGTCAGCTGCAGCTGTTAGACCAGGTCGTATTTCTGTAATGTTACAGTTTGCTCTGCGTCTGTAAAATATGATGCTCTGATGCCAGTGGACTTGTTTATGTCTGTGATTGGTCATCCGCTGCTAACTCCGCCTCTTTTATGTGAACGCGCTCACGGCTGGATAGGGAAGCCCTGGGTTGACTAAGGCTGCGTTCAGACTGCAGGCCTTCATACTCAATTCCCATTTTTCCCAGATCAGATTTTGTTTGACAGTTCACATTACTGTTTAAATGTGGCCCGTATCAGACTCCAGTCTGAACTGTCCGCGGCCTGAAAGTGACCCGCAGAAGACGAACACGACGTCACAGGCTGCAGAAGTAAACAGAGCAGCAGAGGTTTTTTATTGTCCTCTCACGGGTCACATTTCTCCCGAATTATGACAAGTGTTCACAACTTTCTGGCGCTGGACAACGCAACTTCCTCACAACTCACTCCCCCCTGCGTCCGCTCAGACAAATCCTGTGGATTTCAGAAAGGGAATCTGTGAGCAGATGACGGTAGAGGAGAACAGACTGTACGAAGGTTAAACTACGACAGGAGAAGATGTTGGTTAGCTGAGTCGGTGTTAAAGGGAACGTGTTCTGTGCAGACAGAGTTTTTTCTCCGCCTTTCTAGTCTTTTTTCCCACTCAAAGCGCTTTTACACTACATCTGCATTCACCATTCACACTGAGCCTAAGTGCTCAGAAACTAACATTCACACAGTCATACGCTGGCGGAACAGCCGCCAGGGGTTCAGTATCTTGCCCAAGGACACTTTGGCATGCAGCCTGGAGGAATTGAACCGCCAACCTTCTGATTAACGAGCAACCCGCTCTACTTCCCGAGCCACAGCCGCCCTGATGGTGACAGGAAATCATGAAAGTAAAGACACGTTAACGGCTAAATCTATAATGGTGGTCAGACCAGAATTTTGGTCAGACCAAAAGCGAAGCGAGCGTTCGGGGCGGTTAGTTTACATACAAAGTCAATGCAAGATGCGTAGAGCCGCGATTTCCTGTCGGGCGGCCAAAGCGCACACGAAGAGGCCGGTGCCGGCGACGTGAAGGAATTTGCGCGAGTTGAATATTTTCAAGCAAAAAATTCGCATGATGCTGAGTCGCGATAGCCTATCAACGTTGAGATTGTCCGTACGTCACCGACGGCTTCAGAGCGTTGTGTGGAGAGGACCGGGCAGAGCGGGGACTGAAATCTGCAGGCCGGCTGAGAGCTGCTGAACTTGGGCTAGAGGAGCAGGAGCAGCGCTGCAGCTTTCGGACAAATAAACACCCGTGTTAGGACTGGACTTTGCTCGCCACTACGCCGTTTGCTTGAGGGAGGAACTCGGAGTAAACTGCTTTTATAAATTAGCTTTTTACTTTAGTTTTTAGGATTACAACATTGATTTATCTTCACTGGAGCTTCTCAGCAGCTAGATTCTGTGCACATCCGGTTCCAGTGTTGTTAGCGTTGTTTGGCACTACTTCATATTTTTATGAAAAACGGACAAAACTGGACATTACTTGGAGAAAAAAGCGAGGAGGTTGAACTACCTGGTGAGTTCAGAAAACTAACTTTATTCCAGCTGTCGTTGGTCTTTACTGTGAACAGGTTAGCATAGCATAGCCCTGATCGAACCAAACTCCATTCAGAAAACAAACATTTTAGAAGCTGCTGTCTTGCTGACAGACCTGACAAGCATGAATTCATATGTTTAACAAATAGTTATTTCGGCATCAGTTTGATCCATTTATTGCTACTTAATCACAGCAACATGTTTACTTTGGGTTCATACAGCTGGAGTAACGGCGAGTTGTGTTTATTCACGTTATCGCGTTAAATCGCCTTCTCGCGTTGTGTGTGAACACTTGTACTTGTACGAATGTACTCACGCGAGGAAAGCATCACGAGGAGAAAAGTCGCGTTTGGTCTGAATGTGGTCTAATATCGTGGCGGCCGACAGAGCCGGGAGCCATGTTGATCGTGAATTTGTAGTCTAAATATTTTCACAGTGTTCTTACTGTAGTTCACATCTCTATTCTGTATTTTATGGGCTCTTCGTTTAAGTGTAATATGATGAAGATGTAAAGGTACCACTGCACGTAAGATCCACTGTTCTTTTCTCGGTTATTAACCCCACCCTGGCTCTGTATTTTTGGACATGTAAAATAGTCGATCTAAATATGTGAAAACACTCAGAATTCAGTTCCAGCCTACAGACGGGCTCCATCTCAGAAACTGTCCCGGTGATTAATTAAGATTCCTCTCTGAACTCCCAGAGACTGCAGGGCTCACATTCATTTCAGCTGCAGAGGAACAAGTATTAATACTTCTCCTTAGTAACGCTGAGTACAGATGCAGCGTAAATCACCATGGCAACAGACCTCGGGTTACACCTGCCCACCTTTGGTAGTACAGGTTAATCAGGGAGTTACACCTGAAGTTACCTGGATAAGACACGTACCTCACTTCGTAGTACAGGCACCAAGTAGAGTATGTGGTGTTGTTACCTGACTGACCAGGTAGCGTTTGTGTTGTTGTTACCTGACTGACCAGGTAGCGTTTGTGGTGTTGTTTACTGACTGACCAGGTAGCGTTTGTGGTGTTGTTTACTGACTGACCAGGTAGCGTTTGTGGTGTTGTTTACTGACTGACCAGGTAGCGTTTGTGGTGTTGTTTACTACTACCAGGTAGCGTTTGTGTGTTGTTTACTAACTGACCAGGTAGCGTTTGTGTTTTTTTACTACTACCAGGTAGCGTTTGTGTGTTGTTGTTTACTACTAACCAGGTAGCGTTTGTGGTGTTGTTTACTGACTGACCAGGTAGCGTTTGTGGTTTGTTTACTACTGACCAGGTAGCGTTTGTGGTGTTGTTTACTGACTGACCAGGTAGCGTTTGTGGTGTTGTTTACTGACTGACCAGGTAGCGTTTGTGGTGTTGTTTACTGACTGACCAGGTAGCGTTTGTGGTGTTGTTACTGATGACCAGGTAGCGTTTGTGGTGTTGTTCCTGACTGACCAGGTAGCGTTTGTGTGTTGTTACTGACTGACCAGGTAGCGTTTGTGGTGTTGTTTACTGACTGACCAGGTAGCGTTTGTGGTGTTGTTACTGACTGACCAGGTAGCGTTTGTGGTGTTGTTTACTGACTGACCAGGTAGCGTTTGTGGTGTTGTTTACTGACTGACCAGGTAGCGTTTGTGGTGTTGTTTACTGACTGACCAGGTAGCGTTTGTGTTGTTGTTTACTGACTGACCAGGTAGCGTTTGTGGTGTTGTTTACTGACTGACCAGTAGCGTTTGTGTGTTGTTTACTGACTGACCAGGCGTTTGTGGTGTTGTTTACTGACTGACCAGGTAGCGTTTGTGTTGTTGTTTACTGACTGACCAGGTAGCGTTTGTGTGTTGTTTCTACTACCAGGTAGCGTTTGTGGTGTTGTTTACTGACTACCAGGTAGCGTTTGTGTTTGTTGTTACTGACTGACCAGGTAGCGTTTGTGGTTGTTTACTGACTGACCAGGTAGCGTTGTGGTGTTGTTACTGACTGACCAGGTAGCGTTTGTGGTGTTGTTTACTGATGACCAGGTAGCGTTTGTGTTGTTGTTTACTGACTGACCAGGTAGCGTTGTGGTGTTGTTTACTGACTGACCAGGTAGCGTTTGTGGTGTTGTTTACTGACTGACCAGGTAGCGTTTGTGTTGTTGTTTACTGACTGACCAGGTAGCGTTTGTGTTGTTGTTTACTGACTGACCAGGTAGCGTTTGTGGTGTTGTTTACTGACTGACCAGGTAGCGTTTGTGGTTGTTTACTACTGACCAGGTAGCGTTTGTGTTGTTGTTTACTACTGACCAGGTAGCGTTTGTGGTGTTGTTTACTGACTGACCAGGTAGCGTTTGTGGTGTTGTTTACTAACTGACCAGGTAGCGTTTGTGGTGTTGTTTACTGACTGACCAGGTAGCG